GTTCCCGGTGCCCGTCCCTCTGCCCATCCCGTTCCCGGACGGCAGCACTCCACACCCGGCCCTGCCCTGGTGCCCTGGTTTTTGGGAGCAGCTCCCGTGCGTGGGAACGCGGCGCTCCCGGGCCACTCCAGGGGCCGGGCGGGACGCTGCAGATAAGGATGAAAGTGCCGGCAGCGGAGCGGGGTCGCGGTGGCCTGCCCTGCCCGCTGTGCCAGCCCTGCCCAGCCCCGTCTGCTCCCGCTGCCGGTGCCAAGTTGGCAGGAGAAGGAGCTGCTGGTGCCGGGAACACCGAAGGGAGGAAAGTTTGCACAGTGCGGGAGAGGGAGGAGGAAGAAGAGGGTGGGGAGGGGGGACGGGAACAATGACAGCCACGGCCCGAGGCAGCTCTGCGGTGTGAACATGGGGCACGAGGTGCCCCTCGGGCCGCTGCTTGGGGCTGAGAAGTGCTGGGGGGCATTTGGGGTGCTCTGGTGACCCTCAGCCGCCCCAGGCAACAGCAGACAGAGGAGGGGCAGCCCCCAGCCACTGCCTTTTCCCATATAATAAAGAGAAAGAATTCAGGCTTTGGAACTGGCTGTCCAGGGAAGTGTGAAGTTCCTGGTAGTGTTCAAAAGTCATGTAGATGAGGCACTTAGGGACATGATTCAGGGGTGGCCTTGGCAGTGCTGGGGGAATGGTTGGACTTGATGATTTTAGAGAGATTTTTTAACCTAAATGATTTTATAATTTGGTGATTCTATAATTTGGGGAGGTCTCTGCTCAGCTGAATGCTGCAATGATGGCTTAGAGCATGACTGCTTTGCAGGCAGCATTCCCATCCGATCTTTTCATCTTGGGCATTTGTACCCACTCGCTGGGCCCTGGCTGGCCCCGGGAGAGGAGGAAATGAGCTGAGAAACCAGGGCATGGGTGAAGCTGTCTCGGTAAGGGAGCAGGAATCAGCAGCATTGCTGTTAAAAATAGGCACGTGTGAACAGAGTGACCCTCTGTGACTGCACCGCCGGAGCTGGGAGGGGACACCCCGCTCCCTGCCTTGGTGACTTTGCTCCTGGCAATGGCCAAAACTGAGCTTTTGCTTTCCGGGGCACCTGGAGCAAGTCCCTGCTGTGGGTCTGGCCCTGGACAGAGGACTGCAGCAGAAGTTCTTACTGCCTGGCCTGTGCTCAGGTCCCATCGCCCACAAGGCTGCAGTGGGAGATGCCTGGATTCGGTGCCCATCTGCAGAGCCACAGACAGGAGCCGTGTCCCTGCACTCCCCCAGCTCATTCCACACACACCAGTGGAGCTGGAGCCTGTCTGCCCGGGGTGACCAAGCAGCCACCAGACCACAGCAAAGCTTCCCTGCTCACACTCATCTCCTTAGTAGCTCCCAGCAAAGCTCATTATGGGGCTCGGAGGCAGAAGCCGGCCCAGCTTAGCAAGTTGTTGTCCCTCAGCAGAGCCGCCCGTGCGCTTGGTGATGTGGATGATGCAGGTCGGCTGGGCGTGGGGATGGCACATGCCTTCCCTCCAAGCATGGTCTGGCTGAGGGCTCATCCTTTTCTGGTTTGTCTTCCCCCGTCCCATGTCATGATGCTGCACAGGATCCTGCTGTGATCACCACGGGAATGGCAGGGTGGAGGTCTCACCCTGGGTCTGTGCCATCCCAGGCCCCTGGCCCTGTCAGCAGATGCTGCCAGCAGCCAGCCAAGTACTCACAGGTGACCGTGGGGCTGGGGAGGATCTGGGACAGTCAGTGCCTGTGGTGACACGCCAGAGCCTCGTGGCAGCCTGGGCTGAGCCACCTGCCCACACTCCTGCTTGAGCCCGAGTTTGATCCTCCCCAATTACAGCTCTCCCCGTGACCTTCCCTGTTGCCTCACGCAGTGCCTCTCCATGCCTGTCTTTGAAGGAAGCTGAGCCATTAGATCAAAACAAAAATCTTGCCAAAGAAACTATTTACAGGCTCCTCCTGGCTCCTAGAACAGATGATGGGAGATGTTGCAATGAGGTGCAGTGGCATCACAGTGACTCAGCTCACACCCAAGACTGGGAGTGTGCAGAAGACTGAGCAGGGATGCAGGAGAAATCCACGGGACACTGAAAAGGGCAGTGGGGCAGAGAAGGATCAGGCAGTGAGAGATCAGGCAGTGGGGATCAGGCAGCAGGGATCAAACAGCAAGGGAACACTTGCCTGGGGGCTGTCCCTCTCTGAGCTCTCCCATCAGCCCCTGGAAGGAGGAACAAGCCCCTGTGCCAAGCCTGCCATCCCATTCGTGCTGCTGGCATCTCTGTCTCTGAGATCACAGCTCTGTCTGTTCTCTACCACTTTCCCTTGGTGGCCGTTGTCACCCCCATCTCCCATGGGGTTATATTCCCAAGGGGCAGCCCCAGTGGGGACATCCATCCTGCTGTTTCAGACTGTCTGGGTCCAGAAACCCCAGTCCTACCCATCCCATACCTGGTTTCAGGGTTTAACTTGTTTAAAAGGTGCTGGCTGGCTCAGGAAATGATCTTATCTGTCCATCGAGGCAATGCCTCCCCTTCCCCATCCACAAGACACCCAAGATGCAGGCCAGGTTGGCAGAGGTGCTGCGGGGGGATGTGCTGGTGAGTCCCCAGGGCAGCCATGCCAGCATGGACCCAGCACAAGGTGCACTGGCTCCTCATCTCTCAGCCAGCGGCTGAATACAGATGTTGAGAAGAGGAACTTTGCTAAACAATTCCTCCTTCAGTTTCTCTGCCCTCCCCATGGCCCTGCCACCCTGGGCAATATCTGGGCAAGCACTTTGGCTGGGGTTCGCTACTAACCTTGTGCCACCACCTCTGGGTTGCTCCTTGCCCTCCATCCCAGCCTCCTGCTGCTCCCTGTGAGGGAGGAGGGAGTGTGAGCAGGGCACACAGCCCCTGATGCCCAGTGGCACCTTCCTCCAGGGCAGCTGCTGGCTTGGAGACATGCAGAGAGAGTTTCCATGGACATCATGTCCCATGAGTTGCAGGTCAGGGACAAACACACAGACTTCTGCTGAGAGCATTTCCCATCTTCTCCTAGTTTCTTCCCACTCTAACATTGCTGCAGTGCTGGGTGGTGCAATCCTGGGACTGGCATTTTCTACCCTTAAGCAGCGTGACCCAGGAGGGAAATACCAGGATGGTGGTTCTGATGAAAGTAGGGGAACAGATCCAGCGCCTTCCGCTACCCCAGACTGGCCAAGGACCAGATCTCTTGGGCTCCCTTCCCCCAGGGGCGGATTCCCTCTTCCCTTGTCCCTCAAGGCATGCCAGCCTGCAGTCCCCCAGCCTAGGCTGCCAGGTTGTGGCAGAGTCTCCTGGTGTGTCACTTTGCTCTGAAAGTGCTGGGAAGATGTGCAGGAAAACAGACTCCCCTTGCAGTGCTCAGACAAAGGAACATTTCCATGGATTGGAAAGGATGACATGTGAGGAAGCTCTTCAGGATGTCCCTGCTCTGCCCCTGTGCCCTTGTTGGGGGTCACAGAGCTCAGTGCCCTTGACAGGCCCTGGTGCACCACCAGGATGGAGGAGATGCGGCTGGAAACTTCTGCTACCACTGTTGCTGTGCCAGAGCATCTCACTGTGGTTGGAGTGGTGGTGGATGGAGCTGAGGAAGCAGCATGGCCTGGGACACACAGGCAGGCTCTGCCTGCACTGCCCAAGGGCAGCTCACTTGTTCCTCCAGAGGCATCTGGTGTCCCTAGGGCCACTTCTCAGGGGTGTGCCAACAGCCAGGACCTCTTGCAGCTGCTGGATTGAAACTGGCAATTTGGAGCTGAAAGGCTCCTGAGGCCTCTCCAGGACTGTAGCATGGCTGCCCAAGTGGCATCACTTCACTTTGGGATCCAAGAGGTGGGTAAGTGCAAAGGAACAGCCTTGTTTCATTAAGAGGTTGAAGAACTGGCAGCTTTGGGCCCTCTGTCAAGCTCAAAGATCTCTGCCAGCATCTAAATCCAAGGGGCTGCTGGCAGTGTGCTGGGAAGCCAGGAGTGAGATAAGGGAGACATAACTGAGCTGGCACCAAGGGAACTCCTGCAGGAGGAGATTGGGATCTTTGTTGCCACCCCAGCCACCTGCACTTTCCTGCAGGGCACAGCAGCACAGACCAGATGGACTCAATGAGTCCCTTCCAACTCAGGATATTCTGTGGTTCTCTGAGACCACCCTCAGCACAAAAAGGCCACAGGGAGGTGGATCCGTTCCTGAAGAGATTTATGTCTCCCTCTTCCAAGACCAAGAGAGAGTTAAAAATTCCCCTAACCCACTGATGCAGAGGAAGCTGGAGCAGGGCAGGCAGTGCTGCTGCTCAGTGAGGACAGGCAGGTTGCTGCCTATGGGGATTGGATCTCGGCTTAGAAATAAACTGGAGAAACTTTGGAGATAGAGGGAGCATCTCCAGGAAAGATGAGCTCTGGCTAAAGGACAACAGACCTGGGGTATCAGCCCTTGATATGAGACCATCATAGGAGGGTTCAGTGAAGGGTGGTGGGTGAGGTGAGTAGGCAGTGGTGTGGGGAATCATCCAGAGGTATATCTTTCTCTGTGAGGGTGGGGAGGCCCTGGCACAGGTTGCTCAGGGAAGCTGTGGCTGCCCCAGCCCTGGAAGTGTCCAAGGCCAGGCTGGATGGGGCTTGGAGCAACCTGGGCTAGTGGAAGGTGTCCCTGCCCATGGCAGGGGGTGGAACAAGATGAACTTTGAGGTCCCCTCCAACCCAAATCAGTTTGGTATTCTGTGACTCAATGAAATACAGAGGAAAATAGTTGCAAAAAACAGGGAGACACTGCCTAGCCTGTGTGGATGTGTGGCTCCTACAAAACAGATCCTAATGCAATAAATACCATGGTGAATCAGCAGGAGGATGGTTTAACAGGAAAGCAAGGTAGTCAAAACACAAATAAGTAGTAAAACTAAAATGGAATAAAATAAAAATTCTGCAAAAACTAGCATTATCTATTTCAAACCAGGAAAACAGCAAAAGATGCAAATTTCCCACAAGCTAAAAACAGCATTAACTGAGATGAAAATATATTTTGAGTGTAATTCGCTTACCACATAAGAATTAACAGCAGTGTATTTTGCAAACACATCAGAAGTGGGAATTCTGCTGAAAAACTACTGGGCTGGCACGTGCTCAGGGCAGACCCTGCAGCAGGACACAGGCAGCAGGTCCCTGACCTTCCCAAACCGGAGGAGAGGTGGCAAAGGCCAGGCTAATTTCTAGGAAGGGCTCCAAAGGATCCAGGAAACACTGGACTCTTAAACCTGGCTTTGGTACCTGTCAGATATGCTGGAAGATGGAAGAAAATATGGCATCAGAACATGTATGAAAGAACATGCAGTGGTGAGGCAACATCCAGCAAGGCTTGGAGGAGGGAATTCTTGCTAGAACAACATGGAATATGTAAATAATGGTGGATCAGATCAAATATAAAGAGAAATTTTTGCAAAACTTGAACAAAATCTCTCTCCTGAAGCTCTTCAGGACAGTAAGGTGTATTAACAGTGGGGGACAGGCTGGGTGCATGTCACAGCCTGGCAGAGAAGAGACCTGCAAGGGGTCACCGAGGGGGAAACAAAGGGAAGAGTATTTTCATTCCCTAGAGCAGAGCCTCAAGGAACAGCACAGGGCTGGAGCTGGCTCAGACCAACAGGAAGCACTTCCCAAACAGTGCATGAGCACACTGTGGGAGGCTGTCTCTGCCGTGGGGATCCAGCATGGAAATGGATCCAGAGGGAACAAGGGAACACACAGAGGGTTGGTTTGCTGGGGCTGTGGGAAGTCCAGGATGCTCCCAGGCCACTCCTGGCTGAGGAGGACAAGGACAAATCTTTGTTGCTGGCTCTGACTCAGCCTTTGATCAGGCCCAGATCTCCCCACCCTGGTCTTACCCCCGTCCCATGGCACTTCCCCAGGGTCCAGAGCCTGGACTGGCCCCAGGACCAGCCCCAGGAGCTCCTCAGTTCCTCCCCCATTCCTGCATCCCCTGACAGCCCTTTGGGACACCAAAGGGTTAAAGCTCACACGCTTACCCATGGATTTGAGAGCCTGAAGATTCAAGGCACTAAAGTTTGACCTTGGGATCTGCTCCATCCTGCTCTCCAGAGGCTCTCCAGGAACCCGACCCCTTTGCAGCCAAAATCCAGGCTGGTTTTCAATGCCTGAGGCAGGAATGAGGGAGCAAATTCCTGCTGAGACAAGCTGGGAGGTGCAATGCCAGGGACACAATTCCCTACAGAGCGACTGCAGGCACCCAGCTCACCCTGCTGATGCGAATTACCAGTTATGAAATAGAGAAAATTGTTAATTATTTCCCTTTTCATCCATTTGTTATGGCCTTCTTCTTTATTGCTAATTAATAGTTTCAATTCACCACTGAAGTAGGGTGGGGGTTTCTCTTCTCTGGTGTTGGCTTGGTGACTCTTGAAATAAATCCTAAGGAATTGCCTTTTACTACAATTTTCTATCTGCCTTTCCCCATCACTGCTTTTTCTCAGTTTTTCTTGTCTTTATGAGGTTTGACTTTTTAAAGCATCCTATATTTCTGTTTACTGAATGGATTCTTCTCTGCCCAAATTGAATGTAATCAAGTCGTGATCACTGTTCCCTAGGCAACCACCAACGAAATTATAGAGCCATGATCATGAATTAACAGCTTTGAAAAGTTAAAAAGGGTTAATAAATCTGCTGGACCAAGGCATTCCCAGCTGAGCCACTGGTCACTGCAGAGAGCTTTGGGACAATGATCTTGGTTCAAGAATTAGGGAAAGACAAAACACCACCCACCAACCTGTAGAGAAAAATTCAAACCAATGTGATGAAGGGCCGTTTCTTTTCTGTCAAAATTTTGAGGGGTGCTTTGGTTAACAAAGGAATTGCATCTATACCTGCATGGGATGTGGGAATTACTGGAACTGAAGAGGTTGTGCAGGGGCGTGGCAGTGAAGTGAGGCAGTTCAGCATAGCCCTGTTGCCACCTGCAATGCCAAAGGAAAGAAAAGAGTGACTGTGGAGCACAGTGTCCCAATGCATGTGGTGGGGAGGAACGGGAGAACCCCTCCAGCCTGTCCTGTTGCTCCTGACAGTGTTCAGTTGGCTAAAAAAAATCCAAGAAACAGGCTGCAGAAACCAACTTGAACACGAGCTAAGCTTCCCAGAGTCATTTGGCAGACTTGTGTCTTTCCTGGGACTTTTCTGTGTGCTTAGTGAATGTTAGGAAAACAACTGGGAGCAGTTGGGAAGGGGCAACCAGCAGGATAAGGTCTGTGCAGGACACCTGGTCTGGAGACACCTCTTCCAAGCCCTGAAGCTCTATGGTGAGCTCAGTCAGGGGGTCACACCCCAGAGGTTACTTCATGTTGCCTTCCATTGCTGCTCACTCCTGCTTCCCGCTGAGCTGATGGGAGCGGCTGCTCCACTCAGCTCCTCATGGTACGAACTTCCTTCCAGATCCCCTTTGCCTTCTGCTCACAGCCCAGGCTGTGGTGTTCATGGCTCCCTGGGACAGGCTTTGAAAAACAACCTTGTTACACGTGAGGTGTTCTGTGGGACAGGAAACTCCGGGTCCCCACTGCCCCCTGCTGCCCCTTGCCCTGGGGGCTCAGGGGCCTGGCACCTTCCCCAGGCAAACCCTGGCCTCAGCCCACCTGAAGGGAAAGGTTTAAGTCCTCTTTTATGGAAGTACATTGGTGCCTGATTGAGGTTTATAGGTGTAGAATGTACCCAGGGGATGGGATACGCAGAAGCAAACACTGAATACAGGTACTCATCTCAGCCCTGTGCCACACATTAACTCCCACACTCATTAACCCGTGAGCTCCTGTCCCACAGTCCCAAGGCCGTTTCTAAGCAGCTTTCTGGTGTCTTTTCTGAAGTAGGGAGCAAACATAGAGCCTGGAAGGCAGCGCTGGGGGCATGGCTGGAGGGGACCCCTGAGGCTCCTTCCCCATCTCCAGCCCAGGGTGGCCTGACCTGCCCGGCCCGGCAGGGAGAGCCCATGGGCCACGGGACCGCTGTGAGCACCAGAGTCCCTTCACAGCCCCAGAGTCCCCTCGGAGCCTCCTGTGTCCCCTCAGAGTACCCTCAGAGCCCTGTCCCCTCACAGCCCCCACACAGCCCCCCGTGTCCCCTCAGAGCCCCAGTGCCCTCCCAGAGGACCTTCAGAGTCCCGTGTCCCCTCAAAGCCTGGTGTCCCCTCAGAGCCCTGATGTCCCCAAAAAGCCCCAGGTATCCCTTCACAGCACCCGTGTCCCCTCAGAGCCACGATGTCCCCTGACAGCTCCAGTGTCCCATGAAAGCTTGGAGTCCCCTCACACCCCAGTGTCCCCTCAGAGCCTTGGTGTCACCTCACACCCCGTTAACCCCTCACACCCCAACATCCCCCCACACACCAGTGTCCCCTCACACCCCAATAATTCCTCACACCCCAATAATTCCTCACACCCCAATAATTCCTCACACCCCGCTGTCCCCTCACACCCCGCTGTCCCCTCACACCCCGATATCTCCTCACACCCCGATATCTATCTCCTCACAGCCCGGTGCCCCCCCAGGGCCGGCCCGCTCCCGGCGCATGCGCGGTTGTTGGCGCGGCGGGCGGGCCCGGGCCATGTCGGGGCGGGGGCGGCGGGTCCGCGGGCGGCGCGGGCCGGGGGCCGGGACACGGACCCCGACACGGACCCCGACCCCGGAGCGGCCGCGGGCGGGGCCGGTCGGCGGCTCCCCGAGGTTCGTAGCGCGGCGGCGGCGGGCGCGGGGTGGCGGCGGGCGCGGGGCGGGAGCGGGCGGTAACGCTGTCAGTGTCCCGCAGGCCCGGCCGGTTCTGCCCGCAGTGCGGGCGCGCCGTGGAGCCCGCGTTCCGTTTCTGCCCGGCCTGCGGCGGGAGGCTGCCCGAGCTGCCCGAGGAGGAGCGCGCCGAGCCCGCCCCGCCGACCCCGCCGCCGGCCCCCAGCCCCGCCGCCCCCTCCCCGCGGGCGGCCCGGCCCGGGCCCCGCTCGCCCCGCAAGCCCCGGCCCGGCCCGGCCGCGCCGCTCCCCGCGGACACGGTGCTGGCGGACCAGGGCGGGCGGCGCTGGCGGCTGCGGCGGCTGCTGGAGCAGGGCGGCTGCGGGCTGGTGTACGAAGGTGCTGTGGGGCCCGGGGAGGGACGGGGGCGGTGAGGGGGGCCTGTCCCCGGCTGTGGGTTAGGAAGGGGGCTGTCGGGACGTCCCTAAACCCCCAGAACCGTAGAGGGGGTGGCATTGGGGTGACACTGAGTGTCTGCCGGGCTGGCAGGGATCCACCGGCCGGCAGGGGCCGGCATTCACGGAATATCCCGAGTGGGAAGGGACCCACAAGGATCATCCAGTCCGACTCCTGGCCCTGCACAGACACCCCAGCGATCCCACCCTGGCCCTGAGAGCGTTGTCCAAACACTCCCTGAGCTCTGGCAGCCTTGGTGCTGTGCCCACTGCCCTGGGAGCCTGTTCAGTGCCCAACCACCCTCTGGGGGAAGAACCTTTTCCTGAGATCCAACCTAACCCTCCAGCATGCCATTCTCTCACTGGGCATCCACCATCAGTGATTCTGCCACTGATAACAAGATTGAGCTGAGGCCTGGCTGCTCTGTTATGAGGAAATGCCTGTCATTAGGGGCCATGCTTCCTCTTTCTGTTTTTTTAGGTCCAAAACCTAACTGCCAGCAGCACTGTGCGAGAGTTCTGTGTTGTAGGTGGTGTCAGTATCCACTAAATGTCAGTTCTGTATTCTGTAGCCTATTTTGTGGGCTAAAAGAAAGCAGTTATATCATGTGGACTGCTACTCAGCCATTTGGTGACTGCTGATCCTTTCTCTCCAGTCTAGTTGTAAACTTCTGAAGGGGAATTTTTGATCTTATTCTCTGTTGTTAACTTGGAAACTGTACAGGGAGAGTTTTCTCCATGACCAAGTTTTGCCTGATATTTGGCTTTAGTTTCTTTTTCATTACTTAAGCTGTTGCATAACAAAGTCTGAGCATCCATCTATGTTTTTAAAAAGATGTGATAAAAGTGAAAATCAATAGTGGAGGGTGCTTTTATAGATACAAGTTTTGGGTGACCTGTGTGTAGCGCTTGGTCTAAGAACAGAAGAGGAACTGCCCCGAGGCCAAGTCATGGGTGCAAATCCTTTTGGAGAAACGAGGCCACATATAACTCTAACATCCATACAGAGCAGAGGGACTTTGGCATCTCTTACCACAGAGTGAGCTGGAGGGAATGCTCAGCAAATGAATTTGGGGGTGCCTTTGAGATTCCACTAATGATTTGTTCTTTACATACCCCTCAAAGCCCCTCACTACTGTAGCCATGCCCAGATGCTTCTGTGACTTAAGCAGAACTGCACTCGCAGCATGGCAGGGTGCTGAGCTCCTGGAGCAAGGTAAGAATGATTTTGTAGTGATCTGGGAAGGCACTGTCACAGAGGATGCTTTGCAAAGCCCAAGTGAAAGAAGCAGAGGATGAGTAAATCCAGCTGCACAGGCTGCATTTAATGATGCAGAACCTCTTTTCCGTGCTCCTGTAACCACATCTGTTCCATCCTTCCACAGCGCAGTCAGCATCTGGAACCTGCCCTCAAAAGCAAAGCTACTCCCTCAAACTTGTGAGTTTTGATCTGTTTGGGTAAGGAATAGTGCATAGAGTACTGTGTCCTGACCTGTTTGGCTGGGAGTGTCCCAGGAATTCAGAGGGAGTGGTCACACAGGCCCCTTCCAGCTTAGGGATGGATATAACCTCCTGAGGGTGCTATGCTTGGAGTTGAGTACAGGTTGGCCCTTCCACTAAAGATATTAAGGAAATAGATATGAGGATTAAAATAAAAGCCTTAATCACAGAAAGTTGCTGCCTTGGTCTGCCAGGCTCAGTAACCTCCAGAACTGAATTGGGTGGTGTGAGGTGAAGATCTTGATTCAGGAATGTCAGACCAACTTTTCTCCTGTATGGCTGAGGTCTGGGGAGACTGGAGAGGTTGGAACTTGGTGCTGTGCTGACAAGCCAGCATGGAGATACTCCATCAGGCCAGAGCACACTTTTGAAGCAAACAGGAATTATAGTTGGAGTTCTGAGCCAGCTCTCCAGGCACTTGTCAATACCTTGGGTTCTCCAGGAGTGTGTCATTTCCAGGAATAGCTGTTCTGTGGTGGAAATTCAGGATTGATTTTCAGTAGCTCACAAACTAGAGCAGAAAGACTGTTTCCTTGTCTGCTGTGGCTTTTGGGCTTTGCTGGTCTGTGGGAGGGCCGGTGCTGATGGATGGTGTGTGGGGCTCTTGCAGGCACTTCAGTAGTCACTCTGCCTTTTGTCAGAGGAGACATGTAAGAGGATGGAGGAGAAATACAGTGTTGATGAGAAAAGACAGCTAAGTGCCACAAAACTAGAACCACTAGCTGGGAAACTGTAATCGCTTCTGTAGGCAGTGCTCCCAACTCCTCTGTTTTGCACTTTTTGACGTCTTTTGGCATTTTGCTTGGTAGTCTGCTGATGCCACAGCCCAGCCCTTATAGTTGCAGAGCACTGTGGAGTGTGATAAGGCACAGGAGAGCATTTTAAGGCTCAGATGGGCTCACCAGGCAAGGTGCAGAGTGAAATATCCTCTGGGACATGGTCTCTGTGTTGTCTGAAGCCTGCTGATCCTCCAGTTTGGTATCAAACCAGCTAGAATATAACTCTTCTGCTTCCTCCTGTGCATGATAGCAGCTGTCCTGAGTCAGTTTGTGTGTTGAATATCTACATGTGTGTAGGCAAACACAGGCATACTGAATGTAAACTATGTGCATTTGAGGTCACTCAATGGCACCGATATCTTAAATATCACAGATACAGACATTTTAACTTGTCTCATTTTCTGACAGCTAGACTGAAGTGTTACAGCTCTCTGTTGAGTTTTGCCTGTTTGCAGAAATGCCCTCATCCCTGCTGTGACTAGAAGGTCACCTCTGGCTCCCTTTAATGTAACAGCTTTGGGACTAGAGCTCACTCCAGGCTGCCAGATGGGCTGCAGTGCCTGGCTGTCCTTCACCCACAGGCAGCTGTAAATGGCACTGCTGGAAAGGCCCCACCCGAGACAGCCACTCCCCTGTTCTGTGCTGATGCTGAGAGTTTATGTGGTTGGGAGGGGCAGCACTGGAGAGTGAACCAAAGCACCTGAGCTCTGCTAATTTTTTTAGGGGGGGACACTGCGCTCTTTAAAACAGTTAGTGGAAGTCCTGTAGCAATCTTGCCCAAGTTGCCCTTTCCAGCAGGATGTGTGTGGCTGAAATAATGCTCCTCCTTCCTGTTCCCTTTAGGATGCCAAAGATGGGAGGATATACAATGAACAGAATTTCTTCCAGCGAGCTGCCAAAGCAGGCACAGGTTGGTGCTTCTCGGGAGGGCAAGGACTAAGGACAACTGGCATCCCTCTCTCACCAGTTCCATGAGTCTCTCAGAAGGCCAGGACAGGATAAACTCATTCCCTGCTCAGTTAGTGCTGAGGAGTTCAGCCAAGAGCCAGCTCTCCCAGCAGTGTGTGCTGTAGGACACTGCAGTACTGGCATTTTGAAGCTTTCTTGCTCTACCCACTCTGTCTTGATGTCCCTGGGAGCTGTCTTGCCTTGCAGCCTCACCCACCTTGGCTCCCCCTCTCTCCTGTGCCCCTTCCACGGGCATTTCTGTCAGATACTCTGTGGTACTGACTCCAATGTCACCAAAACCTGAGCAAGAGCAAAGCTGCCCAGAGAATGTGGGTAGGGGTGGTGGAGGAATTCATGTCAAACCTGCACTTCTGGGAGGACTAAAAATCTGCTTCTCCATCCCCCTCTTCCTCCTCTCTCCTTGTTTTCCCTAGCCCTGTTGGCAACCCCTTAGCCTGCTCTGGTATTCCCAGTATCCTCCCTGGGATGGGAGGGATCCCATTCTTGCTGTGCAGTTCCATTCATGCTCTGAAGTGCTGTGCACATTGACATGCCAGTACCCCCACACATCAGGCTGGAATTTTGGGGCCAGAATCAGGATGAGAGAGGCTTCCAGCTGTCAGCTGCCCA